CCCAGCAAGTAGGCCTAGTACGATGTCTTGGCATCGTGAAATAAGCACTATAGGTTCTGGTGATTGATGTTGTGAAAATCGCAATTAATAAGGATGGTATGATGAATTGGCATGGCATCAACCAATTACATTAGCTTGTGAAACCATCCATTTTTGATCACACTGACATGTCATGCACGGTTTCATCTACACTGCCACGTGACCTTGATTTATCAGCTCAGAAGTAATGGACAGAGGCATTTGAAAGAATACCTGTGCAAGATGTCAGGCCACGAACAGACAATGTGTGGTAGCAGAACTGCGAAAGGCCTCGCCTCGATATCTAAAGTAATCGATGCTGCCAACAAGTAGGCAATTCATGGAGACGTCAAAGGGGCGTGTACGATTGGTGTGGAGTGATTTCACTCGCCTTGGTGCTAGCGAGTCGGCGCTCAACTGCAGCCTATGCGTGCTCCACATGGAGACTGTACCGTGACCGTGCAGTGAAGGTTGAGTAGTCAAACTCCATAGGTGTTGTGGCAGTGCCTTCAATAAGGCACTTGTTGAATGTTTGAGTGGTCCTTTGACGGACACCGCGTCAGCTCATTCGAATACTTTGTGCGAGCGGTCACTTCGTATTGGCTGCTGGTGTAAAATTGTAAGAAGTAGCACGAGTGGTGTCCTGACCGGAAAAATAGTGGTGACTCAGTGTAAAGTCAAGTAACTCAATGTCAACCAATCACAAAGCGTTGTAGGTAGAAGAAGGGCCCACGCGCGATGTTGAATGTTTGCTCAGTACAAGGTGGACAGTGAAGGGAGCCTATGTCTGCAGTTGCTTACGCTTTAATGGAAAGTGCCTGAACAGAAGAAGAGGGAGAAGAAGAAGAAGAAGAAGAAGAAGAAGAAGAAAGAAGCAATCAGCTTCTTCCACGTGCACTCAGATTCGATTCGGCTCAAATTTGTGCCACCCTATTTGCAACGATTAGATTCTACCGTACACTGTCAGCAGCAATGATAATAACTGTAATGACGGTTTATTTGCCTTATTTATAAAAAGCAATTTATAACTGATCACCCAATTTAGCGTCCAAATGATATTTATCGCACACTTGAGTTCCATTTCGGCATGACGCGGCTCAGAGGAAGAGGAATACAATAAGTTACTTTTAACATCCTAACCTGCATTGGCTTGTGATTGGAGCTAGTGCAGAATTGCATGGAAGCCCTTCATTATTGGTAGCATGTAATGCATAATTTGTGTTCAGGTGTGCGAATTGCACCACATTAAGCAGCGGCGTCTGAGACTAAAGACATTGTGTGCGTGGATTGTCTTCAACTCCAACGTGAGGTCCTGAACCACGCGATGGCCTGTAGGATCAAGAAGACAAGTCACGAGAATGCGGAGACAAAATCGCTCACTGGACTGCTCAACCTACTTGTGCTGGTTGCACCACTGCATCCTAAAAATAATTACTGCCTATTGTGGCGTGAAGTCACTTGGTGGAATATAAAAGCTATTGGCTTTTTCCATATTAAAATTTGTGCCGGCCCGTGAAGTGAGCGAGGTTAGAATTGCGCATAATCACTACTTACTACTTGTAGTAATGAACTTGTATGTGAAGCGATGGGTGTGGTCAGTTGGCCAAAGTGCACCGCCTAAACCACAAGATCCATAATGATTACACCTGAGTAAGTGGAGGTAATCGTCTAATCGTGTTCGTTTATAGCTCTCGTCACATTCTAAATACGAACGGCCTCATAGTGCCAATGCTGATTGCAACCATAAATGAAATGCCAACTATGCTGACAACACAGAGGTGGCCACCGTTTTGCAATTTGAGTGTGGCCACAATGAAAACCCAGGCGACGTTTGCAAACTTCCCTACGTTGTCGTCACTAGTCTCGAAATTTGACTGTTTTATTAGGGTCACTGAGACTAAGTCAGTGTTTGCGTTGGCGCTAGCAGACCTCTGCATACGAGTAAGTCAGTAATAGAAGTTAGGCTTCCGCACCCACCTACTGTTGCCATCGTAGTGTTGATTGACGCTTTTTCTATAACGACAACATACACGCCTATGAGCTGATTTTGTCGGTTGTGATATAGTTGACTTCGGCGTCTCCTTATTTGTATCAGGACGCCGAAATTCAGTGAACAAGTATTACTTGGAATAAGCTAAAGTACTGATAGAAAGGCGGCGATATGTTGAGGCCAGTTGGGGCCTGGAAGCAATGCAAGCAATTCATGTGCCAGAAATAACGGCTGTCTGGTTTCCCTGGAGAAAAAATTTCACCAAGTGGATCATACTTCTTCTACATCTACTTAAAAGTAGAGAGTACAAATTGTACGTGAAATCATACGAGCAGTGCATGCGGGAAGCAGATTACTTGCAATTGTAACGGTTTTCCGAGCTGAGTTTTGGATGCACAAATAGCCACAGGATGAAATACGGTGCTTATTTGCATTGCGATTTCGTGAACCTTTTAGGCCTCTCTATAAGTCACACTCTAGCTTTGAAAAACACTCGTTCATACCCACATTCAACATTAAATCAGACGGAGCTACCTAGTGCTATGGGCAACAGAAGTGGTTTGTAAAGAGGCAAAACATGACGAACCCATGACGGTTTGCTTCTACTTGGAACCCTCCATCCAACTTAGTACAACGACTTAGTAGTCAAATGAAACCATAAAGCCCGTGCTCGTAGAGTAAAATCACGTGCACGCAAGCAAGTGAGACGCATTTAACAATGCTGCAATTGAATTTATCATGAAAACTACTCACAAATAACATTGAAAGCGCACTTCACTATACTAGGAGCCCGTTCTAATCTTTCAGTTTTCGGATCACGCCAAACCTTTATTCTCATGTCACTGCTTTGTTGATCTCTTCCATCACTTTTCGCCAATATTCTGTGTCACGTCTACCAAATCATCTGTGGGTCAGTTGCCATGTCTAGCTGTTTTGTAGTGAGTTGTATAGATACTCTGATTAATAGTGTTGTAAATGCAAATTTCAGAGATATCATGAAGAGGAGCACGTAATCAACTTGATTGGATTAGTGAATTAGTGCATCTATTGTAGTATTTGTTCTTGTTGTGCACTGATTCACTTAGGCAACGAATTCTCGTTGACCCATGTGTGACTGCCCTTGTAGATGATGCCAAAGCTAGCCTCGAAGCAATTTCTGGACCGCTGGCCTAACCCGACCACCACACACCCGAGAACACTACTCATAACAAAACGAACGAAGATAGCCCACGTGCTGCACACCCTGACTACGCACCATCCCAACATTGGTGTTAGCATGTGTGAAAGCACTTGAATGTCTTCCAAGTATGGACCACCTTCCATCTACCATCCAACAGCCTCAAAACAGGAATGATTCAACAGAAGAACGATCGTGTTGGGAGATAATTTATGAAGCTGTAGTAGTGATTAAAATGAATCGATAACTGCTCAAAAGCATGAAGACAACACGTGCGATACAATGAAAGCAATCAAGTGCACACAGAATCAACCACCACGACCGCGAAGCACTAGGTTCAGGGTCACGCCATCCTGAATGTTGTAGTCTGACAGTGTACGACTGTTCTCCAGTTGCTCGCCTTTATAAATCAGACGCTGCTGGTCTGGAGGAAATCCCTCCTTGTCCTGAACCTTTGCCTTCACGATCTCGATTGTATCGCTCGGCTCCACATCCAGCGAAGTCGTTTTGACACTGAGGTTCTTCACGAAGATCTGCATCTTGAGAGTTCGAACACACTTCAGTTGCAATGCCTGACATGCAGAGCTGCTCTCCTTTATATTATGTTCTACCTACGTGGCCCCACACACTGTCAAGTAGCTACACTTCTTTCTCATGGTCACGTGCTCACATGCAATTGAATGGACCAATCGTGCACTCGCAGTTACTTCACGCGTGCGTCCATTATCAGTGCATTCGATGTCATCTCGTGCACAGTGCGTCACCTCGCTCCTCAGTCGTTGGTTCAGCTCTTTCCCCAAACCTGTCTTGCCAACGCTCCTCGCCAATTTCTCTCCAGTAGACGACGACGACGACGACATCTGTGTGCACTTCGGACGGGGTCACGAGTGTCTCCTTGCATTAAACTCATGCGGGAATGTCAGGTGTCGCGTGGTAATTCGCAAACAATAACATTGCAAATAGTTTATTAAAAATCACGATAGTAATAATAATATTTACTCGTGTTACTGCTTTCATTAATACTAGCATTACCACTTAATGCCTTAAATAGAACAGCTAACGTGGATGTGTCTACTTGTACTCTCACTCCCTCAACTGCTCCTACAATTAACACCTACTCAAATCATTTCCGAGTAAGCGGAGAAAGAGTTTACAGGCAGGAATCAAGGTGATTCAAACCCGGTTACACAAAAGTTTACCAACGATAATCTACACTAGCAGAAAGTGAGCTCATGACCACAAATGCCGTCTGCAGGTGCAGATGCAGGTGCAGGTTGCAATACTAGGAGGAGTGCTAACGCAATTCGTCCGCCACCTTAAAATGAGAGCTGAGGGTGTAGAACTAATGCTTATCACACCGACAACAGCACCGTTAGTCGAATGTGAGTTTATGGTTAAAAGAGTTATCTGCAGGTTGAAACAGACTATTACTTGATCTCACTTGAAGTTTGCTCGAAGTCAACTTTGCCGAGGAGACCGGGTCTGAATAACTTGGATGAACTCCCACTTTGCTGTCCTCATCAATTATTAACCATTCCATGTTGCCATTATTACTGTAACATTAGAATTGCAAATGTGTATTTAGGTTAATTTGCAGAAAGCATACTGGGTGGTGTAAGAGCACGCCATCATTTGCAAAATCAGACTTTCATCAAATGTTTCAGATGAATTTAGACAGAGGCATTTGCAAACGTCGGTTCACCTGACCATATTTCCACTCAAACACACACACACACACACAGAACAGGACAGGACAGAAGATCACTTGGGTTAGATAGGGGCCTCGCTTACCCGTGTGTGTCAACGGTGCGCTCACCAACGCAACAATAGGATACGCGCGGCATTGAATAGCGCTCATGTGATTAGTGATGTCAATTACGAGTGGTAGTTTGTGGTCATGAATTAATGCTTGCACGTGGTCACTCAATGTTAAATTCGTGTACTTTTAAGATTGGTTCATCCACATGCCAATTCACACCCAACACATTAGGAGTACACAGTGGTATCAACAAACAGGTAGGTAGATATGCCTACGAAGTAGGTAGGATACGCTTGGATGGATGTGCGGTTACTGTGGCCCAATAGGAGCTAACGATGATTGTAAACTGTAGAATAATGATTACCAAGAATTTGAATATCCACTGATTTTATTGACTTTATTATGCCTTCGACATCTGAGGTGACATTTGTACCACTCTTAAGTGATTTGCAATTGTAGATGTGACCCAGGAGCCAACATAATTCGAAGCACTCTAAGTAATTACCGAAGTTATCGACACTTCGGCATTGCTGCCACATGTAGTTGGGCTCTACGATTCCGAGGAATTCACACAGGTCATTTCACGATGCTCGACACCCATCTGACGCTTTGTCTCTCACCAACTGCCTTCCTGAAGACTAAACATCGCTCAGTAGTCTTGAGTTGACTAATCCCCGTCTTCCGTCCTTCATTTTAGTAATGGTGATCGGTTTTTTTCTTCCCTCCCAGCAAGTAGGCCTAGTACGATGTCTTGGCATCGTGAAATAAGCACTATAGGTTCTGGTGATTGATGTTGTGAAAATC